TCCTAGTTCCAGCATAAGGGCATATCCACAGATTTCAAACATATAACTTGAATGCTTATTGTAACATTTCAGAATTTACCGGTCCAGATTTTTATATTGTCCATCTTCAAAATAACATTCAGTTCAGAACACAACATCGAATGTTTTCAAGAATTCTAACAATTCATTGTGGTTCTACATGTCAGTAAAGTCTATAGAAGATAGCTAAGTAAAGACGCCCGCCTCTTTATTTACCCATACCTGGTGCCCTGGCGAAATGTGATATAGGTGTACCCAGTTATATGTTGTTTTACACACTTTACGACATAAAGACATGTCATGCTTATCAATAGTTATGGATCGAGGAACATTTCGGAGGATGTGTTTTTACCAGACAAAAAGTAAAATAAATTATCAATGTGTTCATTATCATAAAGAATGCATCATTTCTTGTCTCCTGACACTCTGCACTTGGTGAACATTCTAGTGTTCAGTCACAGGGTGTAGCTAGTTCTTACTGAATTATTAACCACACCACCTTGGGAACCCTTATTTGTCGCCAATGTTGATCAGGGTTTGTCCTTGAAGACATACTCCACTACACTACGTTCCCGACGTCCTATGTTCTACTCAGTACCTTATACACAATTCATACATCTGCACGAGATTGCCTGCATACCCTGCATGAAGAAAAATGTTCACCGACCGTCATAAACTCTGACAGAACTATGTCTTTAGTAGATTTATCGGGTTATACTCTGTGAGTACAAGGAATCTCCTACTCAAAGCCTTTAACACTATCATTACCCTATATTAAATGGTTTTTTATACAATGCGTAATGCTATAACATTTTATTAGTTAAAACAAGTTTTCTCCCTTGGATTATTTTATCTTTTGAACTCATTAAATGATCGCTGGATCATCTAACTGCACTACAGTTAAGGTAATTATCAGGCAACCATTACGGAAATCTTACTCTTGAGAGGGTTTACAGAGGCTCATTCTCGGATCAGGTTCCATTGTACCAGTAACAATAAACAACTGTACACGGTGGGTTTCCTTTCTATTTCCGGTGTCACTGCAGGGTGATCTGACATCTCATGGCCACAGTGGTGCTTTAATACTTAAACAACTAAGCATGTTTAAAAAATAGACGTGCTAAACTGTATTGACTTTTAAGTCATGGCTTTTAATTTGGTTTTTATACCTCATGGCTATCAATACAGATGTTTATGCCAATTTCTACTACCTGTTGGCATTCATAGGACTATGAACTGCCAACCATAAAACTGAACATCCAAATGTATATACTGTTACATTATAAAGTTTTATTATTTCCAACATTTGTGTGACACATTTACAGGTAGTTAAAGGCATCTTATGTGTGTGAATTACCTGTGCATGGGTAAGGATTTTGCTCCCATCATTGTTTGTGCTATTTCTAGGTGTGATATTGTAAGGTCGATATTTTTTTATTATTGCTCATTAGTGTGCGTTTGGGTTTTGTTGTCACTACCCAAAGTTCTAGGTGTGAGGGTGTGAGGGTGTGACATAACTTGGATTTGACCTAGATTTACATAGCGGGTGTCGTCAATGAAGCAGAAGATGCCTATCCTTCTGGAACACCTGGTCTTTTCCTCCTTGATTTTTTTAAAGGGTCTCCATGTCAATGTTTGTTTTATTTTGCCCTACTTTTATTGATTTTGAAGTTAAACTTGCTTGTTGACACTTTGGTATTCTCTAGTTGCTACTTGTTTTACAGAAAATGCAATAATTGGTACCTGTACTATAAAACTTAAGTGATAAAATAAATAATAATATACAACATTTGATATATCGCCCTATCTAGCTAACATAAGCCACTCTAAATTGCTTTACAGTATATATATATATATATTTATATAAAAAAAAGATTAACGACCGACTAAAAAACTAGCTGCTTTCACCCTTCACAGGGCTCTTCAGGTTTATTCAAAAGAACAACTTCGTGATGTCACAATTACATGTCATCACACTACAATAGTAACGTGACGTCACGAAGTACACAAGATTGGTGGACAATTTAGCGTAAAATTTTACTGTGGCCTGTTGAGACTTGGTTTTAATATTTTGATTAGTTGGTCTTCTTTCGTTTCTCTTAAAATAGTGTCTGATGAAAATAGTTGATACAAAGGTAATACATTAAATTTATCTCCAGCACATTCATGAATATGTTTGTTAACATGAAGATTTCGTAAAGAATCAGTTCTAGTTTGTTGTCTATGTACAGTCATACGTGTTCTGAGTTCATTACAGGTTTGACCAATGTAAAAATCACCACATTTAGAACAAACTATTGCATAAATTACATTTTTTGATTTACAATTCTTTGTACCTTCACAGTAAATTTCAAACCATTCTTGAAAATAAAAGTATTACACTGGATAATCATAGGACATGTAGCACATCTTGGTGTCTTACATTTGGATACTTCTGGTGTTACACAAGAATTATCATACTTAGTACATGTCAACATACGTTTCAAGTTCTTAGGTTGGCGTCTACAATGTAAAATAGCATGTTTATTAAAAATGTTTCTCATACGCCTGCTACTTTGCTATAACTCTTCACATTTGTTCTTTATCACAGGAAACATATTACAATTCCGTGGATTGAAAGTAGAAACAAAAGGAACTAACTTTGATTCATCCTTTAGTTTTTGTAGACGGGAAGTAAAGGGTCCCTTTTCAATAGCTTTCAACAATTTGAGGAATTCGCAGGAGCTGCCTTATCAGGGGCTAACTACTAGTCCTATGTCACCTGGCTAATATCTCCCTACGTGTATGCCTGCGTGTGTGCTGGAGATGTAATGTGTTCTGTTTGTAGTTGGACCATACTTCCAACAGCCCACTGCACTTGAATGCTAAGTACAGCACAGATACCGCAACATCCACCCCAGACTATTTTATACTCCACCTGGGTTGTTGGAGTTGTGTGGGCAGGAGAAAAACACTTTTTCTGAATATCCATGTGTACAACGACTTCGGGGGGTCTGTACTATATAAACAATACAGTTCTGTATATCAACAAACAGTACACCTCTGCATGTGATATAAACTTCACATGTCTTTGAGTGAAATCACTTGTACAATGTTTGTGGTATAATGTGTGTTAAAGAGCATAAAAAAAATCTGTGTAAACAACAACAAAAAATTCTCATAAAATCAATAGTGTGACTATTTCATAAGTTGAAAATTCAACTGAATTAAAAATTTTAAAATTAGATCATACTGAAAACCATCACAAACTTGATAACTCTGCCCTAACCAGGCTTGAAAAGCTGATTATAATCATTCTTCGATACCCGTCAATTTCATTTGTTTAACGAGGTGAACAGCTGATTATTGCCTAGCAATTTGCACAGTCAATAACTACTGCAGGGAAGTAAGGCTGGCATTTTCTAACTGTGTTTTGGTACTCACTTTTTAAATGTTCTGAATCGTTGAAATTTCAATGGCAGCTTTAAGAAAACCTTTTTTCCCCGATCGTTTGATTACTGTGCTGACATTAAACTATGAGTCAGCACTAGTACTGCTGGGTTAGGTTCAATAGAGTGGCATGTCTATGTTTACAATATTTGCTATTTTGTTCTTCAACCATTTTGTGCTGACAATTTGATGGACCAATTTGATCTTATTTTGTCTGGTCTATCAATCATACAGTTGCTATAAGTCCTGTTTTGTCTTGTTTATTCTTCCTATCATCACATTCTGTCAATGTTTGTAAGTCTTCATCTCCTGGTAACATTCATCTTTTTTTTGTCTTGTTTATTCTTCCTATCATCACATTCTGTCAATATTTGTCTGTAAGTCTTCATCTCCTGGCAATATTCGTCTTTTTTTTGTCGTTGTGTTTTCCTTTTTTTACATCAATATTTGTCTTTTTTTTGTCATGGTAATTTTCTTTCCCATTGCCAATATTATTTCATGTATTGATTAAAATTCTACTCAAAATTTTATTCTACGTTGTCCTTGTAATCAACAATAATTTTTGTCCTTTCAATGTTTGTCCTTTTTTGTCTTTGTGTTTGCAAGTTATTTTATGACCTCAATTTTTCTGTCTTCGTAATGTCCTAATAGTTTTTTCTGTCAGTGTTTGTCTTATTTCTATTTTTAATTAAATGTTTTCTCCAAAAGATTTGTCCCGTCATGTTTTGTCATACTTTTTCTTAACATATATTTTCCAAACTATCATAATTTGTCCTTTTTTGTCTTGATGGTCTCCAATATTCCAATCTCGTAAATTTTTGACTTGCCATTTCCTGTCAGCATTTCTAAACTTTCTTGCTATTCTCCTATGATCATACCCTGTCACTGCTTGTCATATTTTGTCTTAATGTTCCAAAATCTTCATCCCCCGTTCTTGCTGTATCAGTGTTTAGCGTTCTTCAATCATGATCAATTGTCATAATGTTTGCCCTATTTTGTCTGGAGTCATGTTTTCCAATCATCCTGTCTTGTCAATTTTTGTCCTAAATGATTCTCATGTTATGTAAAATTTCCTGATTCTATTTTCTCCAACCCTTCACAAATTTGATGTAGTTTTTCTTTTCAAAATTGATTTATCAAAGCTTTACTCTTCCAGGAAAACGGTTTCAAATGTATTTAAGTTACAGCTTTTGGCAGTGGTATAGAGATCATTGTCAGTGATACAGGTTCATTGGCAGTGGTACAGAGATCATTGTCAGTGGTACAGAGATCATTGGCAGTGGTACAGAGATCATTGGCAGTGGTACAGAGATCATTGGCAGTGGTACAGGGATCATTGGCAGTGGTATAGAGATCATTGGTAGTGGTACAGGGATCATTGGCAGTGGTACAGAGATCATTGGCAGTGGTACAGGGATCATTGGCAGTGGTACAGAGGTCATTGGCAGTGGTACAGAGATCATTGGCAGTGATACAGGGATCATTGGGCAGTGGTACAGGGATCATTGGCAGTGGTACAGGGATCATTGTCAGTGATACAGGTTCATTGGCAGTGGTACAGAGATCATTGGCAGTGGTACAGAGATCATTGGCAGTGATACAGGAATCATTGGCAGTGGTACAGGGATCATTGGCAGTGATACAGGGATCATTGTCAGTGGTACAGGGATCTTTGGCAGTGGTACAGAGATCATTGGCAGTGATACAGGGATCATTGGGCAGTGGTACAGGGATCACTGGCAGTGGTACAGGGATCATTGTCAGTGATACAGGTTCATTGGCAGTGGTACAGAGATAATTGGCAGTGGTACAGAGATCATTGGCAGTGGTACAGGGATCATTGGCAGTGGTACAGAGATCATTGGCAGTGGTACAGGAATCATTGGCAGTGGTACAGGGATCATTGGCAGTTGTACAGGGATCATTGGCAGTGATAGAGGGATCATTGGCAGTGGTACAGGGATCATTGCCAGTGGTACAGAGATCATTAGCAGTAATACAGGGATCATTGGCAGTTGTACAGAGATCATTGGCAGTGATACAGGGATCATTGGCAGTGGTACAGGGATCATTGCCAGTGGTACAGAGATCATTAGCAGTAATACAGGGATCATTGGCAGTGGTACAGAGATCATTAACAGTGGTACAGAGATCATTGGCAGTGGTACAGAGATCATTGGCAGTGATACAGGGATCATTGGCATTTGTACAGGGATCATTGCCAGTGGTACAGGGATCTTTGGCAGTGGTACAGATAATATTGTCAGTGGTACAGGCATCATTGGCGGTGGTACAGGGATCATTGGCAGTTGTACAGGGATCATTGGCAGTGATAGAGGGATCATTGGCAGTGGTACAGGGATCATTGTCAGTGGTACAGGGATCATTGGCAGTGGCACAGAGATCATTGGCAGTGGTACAGAGATCATTGTCAGTGGTACAGGGATCATTTGCAGTGGTACAGGGATCATTGGCAGTGGTATAGGGATCATTGGCAGTGGTACAGGGATCATTGTCAGTGATACAGGTTCATTGGCAGTGGTACAGAGATAATTGGCAGTGGTACAGAGATCATTGGCAGTGGTACAGGGTTCATTGGCAGTGGTACAGGGATCATTGGCAGTGGCACAGGTGGTACAGAGATCATTGGCAGTGGTACAGGGTTCATTGGCAGTGGTACAGAGATCATTGGCAGTGGTACAGGGTTCATTGGCAGTGGTACAGGGATCATTGGCAGTTGTACAGGGATCATTGGCAGTGATAGAGGGATCATTGGCAGTGGGACAGGGATCATTGGCAGTGGTACAGGGATCACTGGCAGTGGTACATGGATCATTGTCAGTGGTACAGGGAGCATTGTCAGTGGTACAGAGATCATTGGCAGTGGTACAGGGTTCATTGGCAGTGGTACAGGGATCATTGGCAGTGGTACAGGCATCATTGGCGGTGGTACAGAGATCATTGGCAGTGGTACAGGGTTCATTGGCAGTGGTACAGGGATCATTGGCAGTGGCACAGGTGGTACAGAGATCATTGGCAGTGGTACAGGGTTCATTGGCAGTGGTACAGGGATCATTGGCAGTGGTATAGGGATCATTGGCAGGGGTACAGGGATCATTGGCAGTGGTACAGAGATAATTGGCAGTGGTACAGAGATCATTGGCAGTGGTATAGGGATCATTGGCAGTGGTACAGAGATCATTGTCAGTGGTACAGGGATCATTGGCAGTGGTACAGAGATAATTGGCAGTGGTACAGAGATCATTGGCAGTGGTATAGGGATCATTGGCAGTGGTACAGGGATCCTTGGCAGTGGTACAGATATCATTGGCAGTGGTACAGAGATCATTGGCAGTGGTACAGGGTTCATTGGCAGTGGTACAGAGATCATTGGCAGAGGTACAGAGATCATTGGCAGTGGTACAGAGATCATTGGCAGTGGTACAGAGATTATTGAAGAAAACTTAATGTTGTCATTACACTTGTTTTTTCTTTTTTTTTAACAACAATTATGAAACAAGTTTTCCAACTTATATTAATCACTCTTGTTGGCCTGGGTGAAAGCATGCAGAGGGTCTTAATGTGGGAGGAAATCAGAGTACCCACATGGTCGGGCAGGTGATCCAAAACCTTTTCACATCCAATCAGGGAATCCGACCTTGGTGAAAAGCGAGTCTATTATTCATTGCACCACCCAACCACCCATATCTTATTGACACATAAACGGAATACCATGTCATCTTTAAGTCCGTAAAGTAGGGACACATGATAACAGTGATCCTTGATGTCTGTATAATAAACCATGGATGTGACTGGGGATTTAAACAAGAGGCCCATGGGCCTTAACGGTCACCTGATATATTTATACAGAGAGTTGATTTTGTTTTTAACATGAACAGAAATATTATTCAAAGTGACAAAAAACAATAAAACCACCTTATTCAATATCTAGCATACAGATTTCAGACTAAAAAGTATTTGAAACTAGCACCTCTGATTCTAAACAAGGAAAATGAAGAAATTTTAGCACACTGACTCCTTTGAGCCCCATCCTACAGCCCTTGGGGGTAGGGCTGGCTCAAAATTTTCAAAGTATCAAACTGTCAACTCAAGGTTATAATTCCAATCAAGTTATTAACATGTAATATTCAAAGTATCATTTGCCATTATAAACCATAATAAATTTTGCCCCCCCCCCTCCTTCCCCAGGGGGTAAACGTGAGACCCTAGGGTCATAAACCTTAAGACCCTTCCATCTATGAAGAGTATTTGATTCTACCATATCTGGGTCTTGAGAAGAAGATTTTTGAAATTTCAGTAAATTCGACCCTTTTTGGCCCCACCCATCAGCCCCTGGGGGTCAGTCAGGGCTGATATGTGCTTATTATCAAACTGCTACCTAATACTGATAATGCTAACCCAAATTGAATTACTTCCAATGGAAATTAAACAAATGTTGGTCCAAAATGTGATTTCCCTATATAAACTATAGTAAAGTTTACCCCCTCCCCAGGGGGAAACGTGAGACCCCAGGGTCAAGAAATTCACAATTTCGGTAAAGCACCTTAAGACCCTTCCATCTATGAAGAGTATTTGATTCTACCATATCTGGGTCTTGAGAAGAAGATTTTTGAAATTTCAGTCAATTCAACCCTTTTTGGCCCCACCCATCAGCCCCTGGGGGTCAGTCAGGGCTCATAGGTGCATACTATCAAACTGCTACCTAATACTGATAATGCTAACCCAAATTGAATTACTTCCAATGGAAATTAAACAAATGTTGGTCCAAAATGTGATTTCCCTATATAAACTATAGTAAAGTTTACCCCCTCCCCAGGGGGAAACGTGAGACCCCAGGGTCAAGAAATTCACAATTTTGGTAAAGCACTTTAAGACCCTTCCATATATGAAGAGTATTTGATTCTACCATATCTGGGTCTTGAGAAGAAGATTTTTGAAATTTTAGTCAATTTGACCCTTTTTGGCCCCACCCCTCAGGCCCCTGGTGGCTTGGGACTAAACCGGCCACTACTTTTGTTGACCTTTGTCCATGGAAGGTCCCTGCAAAATTTCATTGAAATTGGTTCTGGGGTTTTGGAGAAGAAGTCGAAAATGTAAATTGTTTACGGACGCACGACAGACGACGGACGACGACAGACAAAAGGCGATCGCAATAGGTCACTTGAGACTTTGTCTCAGGTGACCTAAAAAAAAGAAGGAGTAAATAAAAGTGAAAGGGGAGGAACATACCTCACCTCCTCAGAAATTTCATTTTTGTAATGCCCCTAGCAAAGTGAGAGCATTTCAAATCATGGAGAATAAAAAATACAGAGAAAAAAAAATCAGAAAAGAGAAAGAATCACATCTGTGACAGACACATACAGACATGTATTGACATTTTCTGACCTCCGATACCTTTGTATTGACTTGTTTTGTGTACAACTAATATGTACAATAGGAGCTCAACAACACTAATAATATTACTTGGTAGCCGTCTCAAGTCAGTCTGGTGCACGGCTTGGTGCAGCACCTCTCACCGAAGAACCTCATTAATTGTGATTAATATTGGGACGTCAGTTTTGCCATCAGCAGGCTAAGTAGGGATGAAGGACCAGGAATTCATTAGCCTATCACTCGTGTCAATCCTAACGTACCGTGTCAGTCCTAACGTACCATATAAATCACCTTCACTCCTGCCCATTTATTTGATTCTCAGAACACAATATATCAGCTGTGAGGTCAGAGCTGTTCCAGCTAGTCTATTGATAAATACTTCCAACATGTCTTCTTCCTATGATAATTGGAAAAATATAAGAAATCTTTATTCAAGGCAGTTTTACGTATAAATCAATGTGTAGCTTGCGTTTCAACGTTATCCCCATGACCCTTGACCTATGTATGTAAAGCTACCATGCTCACCTATCCACCTCAATGTCTATATTGTACCTGAAAGCAATTTATCAAGTTTTTAATTTAGATAATTTACATACTAATAAACTCCTTTAAAAATGAAGATTTACTGTGATATGAAACACAATTGAAAATACTCATGTTCTTGAATGACAATTAAAATCCAAGAGTTGAATGTTTTCTACTTAAAAACCAATAAAATGTCAAGTTTGGTAATTTTCAAAATTCTAATGAGACACAAAAAACATATTGTTATCAACATTAAATGAAGACTTTGCCTGATTTACAGAGTTACAAACCTGTATTTACCTTTATGAGATTCAATACCTGTCTTAATAAATAATAAACCTTTGTTTATCACCTTTAAATGCCTGTCTTAATAAATAATAAACCTTTGTTTTACTCACCTTTAAATACCTGTCTTAAAAGACTGAATAACGAATTAACATAAACAACATATTTACATTTGATTAACACATACAAACACTGAATAACAAACATTCATTTATTACTTTTTACAAGTGAAAACTGGGAAATCATCAATTTGATAAAAACCATCTTCACTTTAGTAAAGATATATTCAAAATGCTTTATCTTCCCATGTGATGATCTAATGTAACAGGAAAGAGAGAAGTGTGCTTTCATCGGGGTTTGAACCCCCCAACCCCAGCTTCCCAGACCGCTGCTCTACAGATTAAGCTTAAGCGATATTGTGTCTAACGTGAAGCTAGAAGGCGACATTAATCCCATGTAAAATTAAAACTTGCCACACTACTATATAGCTACTTTTTAAATACCTCCTTTTTAAATATGTTCACCCTCAAACATCACAACAACCCAGGTTCTAACTGCCTGTCACGAAAGGGAGGGCCGCGACACCATTTGTAACAGGGAAAGAGAGTATATAGTGTGCTTTGACCAGGGATAGTACATGCAAACCAAGCTTCCCAGAGGCCTTTTACCGATTAAGCTAGCGTGAAGCTAGAAGGCAAACGTACATTACCCTATGTACAATTAAAATATGCTACGTTATTAAAAATATCTTTTGAAAAGGTGCAGCCTTATTGTCAAGCGAATATGGCGCCAAAGAAATGAATATTGTCTATATAGCTTTGTTTATCTCATAAAACACCTGTCCAAAAGAAAAAGTTATGTAAATTACAACAATGTGCAGCACACCTTGTTTCTGATGTTCCATTAGAGACTCTGTTGAAAGTAATGTTTTCTATGTGTGCAGATACCTATAGAAAGGTATATTATTTATAGAAAATCTTTACTGACTTTAACTGTGTAAATGGTCTCGCTCCTCAATATTTATGTTCTCATTCTAATAATTTAAACAGAGTTCATTCCAGAGTAGCACACCCACAGAACAGAACTTGTTGTACATTCCTAAGCACAGGACAAGGTACCTTATATTCTTAAAGGTACTGTGCCGCTAACCTTCGCTCTTTTTTCTATCAACAGGAAGAATATCACTGACATATTTTTCTTACATAGCAATATATAATTATGAACTTTCCGTTAATACCACACTCCGGGTGTGAAATGTGTAAAAGATATAAAACAAAAAGGGATTATATTTCATTTTTCCTCTGACCCAAACAAAACACATAGTCGCCATTGCTTATGCATGATAATAACATGAACATGAATTCAACTTGCGCCTGGTGAGATAAGTAGCAGGTGGTCAGGTGGTGCAGTGGACAGTGTACATGCCTTTCAATAAGATATGTCAGGTCTAGGGTTCAATTTCCCGACTGGACATGCAATGGTATTGGGTCACCTGCCGGAGGGTCACCTGCCTGAGGATCACATGGGTTTTCTCCAGGTACTCCTGTGTCCTCCGACATTAGGACCCTCTGTGCCAACAAGAGTGATTAATATAAGTTTGAAAAACTTGTTCCATAATTGTTGCAAAATAGATTAATTAAGTCATATGTAAAAGCTTCAAGTAGCTTAACTTCTACTGTACTCATCCCAGGAATCTCATAACATGGAAACTCATTCAGTCAACATGTCCCACTTACAGTATATCGTTACTTAGTTTGTATAAGCAACACTATCAGCTGTTTAAGAAATATTAGTTCCCAATCCCCTGCCATTGGTATCAAAAAATACTACAATACTAAATAGTGGTTTTGTTAAACACCTACATCTTATAGAGCACTGCAGAGATCATTCTGGAGAATTTCTGGACAAACGTTGACACAATCAAATATCTTTTATGTTTTGTGTGCATAGTACTATTTAATACCCTGTCTGTTATAATCCCTGTGGCAATATTACACAGTAGGTCATGACCTGTGTATCACCTCTGTCCCATCACTTTGTGTGTGTTAACTGTCACTCTGTCCAGGCTAACTGTAAAACACCATGTCCACTCCCACCTTCCTTTGTCCATTTCCTTATAATACATGATCAACCTAAGGTCAAGTTTCTGTGTCCAGTGACCACACGTCCATCACCACCTTGACCACAAACACCTGTAACATTGTCCAGGTATGTATCACCATCGTAAGGACGTATTTATACAGCGTATGGGAATGGCAACAAACCTCAAATACATAAAAGACAAGAGCTTCGGTCAGTTCCTCAAATCTAAAAACAAAATCACATATATATCTGACATGATTTCTTCAATCTAAATTACACAACAATGATCAACATATAAAAGTCACAGGCCCACTAAAGAACTTCTAGTAGGCATGCAACTGATCGGTATAATTTAATTTTAGAAAAAATGTTTCTAATTATGAGATATGATTAAAAGAATATACGATATGTTATATGAGATAGTTATTCAGAATTTGTTATCTTTGATATATTTTCAATGGTTTGTTAGCTAACATAGTGTTATCATATAGTATGTTTTAAGCTAGGGTTATGTTTTCAGGATTAATGTAATTAGCCAAGAGAGGATTTTTAGGGTTTGCTAGCGAAGATATTTGTTTCTGAGTTTGTTGGTAAAGATATTGATTTCAGGGTACGTAAGGTAAGAAACTGTTTTAAGGATTTAATTGTTATCTTGGATATTTTTAATAGTTTGTTATCTGCCATAGTATTTTTAAAAATAACTATCTGTTGTTTTCAAGATTTGTTAACCGAAATGGTGTTTTGATGGTTTATTATTCATTATATATTTGGCCTACGAACATGTCAAATACAAAATTGTAACAAAAATTAATCATATTAGTATTAACTCTACCAGAAATAGCATTCTTAGTAATTGTCATCTTCAAGATGATCGTACCAGCTGACATCATCACAGACAATATCCTCACACATATTCCATTAGAAACTAACACAATCTGATTACAGTGTGTTTTGTATGTTCATAATTGTGATAAATATACACATTAATGAAAGAAACAGAAATAATCATCACCTATTATTGAATTAGAATTTAAATTATTTATGTGTATTTTACATTCTACTTACAGGCAGAGAGAAACCTAATTTACCCTGGGAACTCTAGCCAATATATTACACAGTGAGATTGAAACATTTGGATACTTCACAAATTGTGGACATGACTCCAAGCTTTATCTAATTTGTATTAAATTTGCTACATAATCTTTAGTGTTAACACTCTCTATTAATAAAATTAAAAAGCTTTTCCAGAAATTAGCTTTATAGACCAAGTTTTGATAGCAAAATGTGCATGCGCACTGGATTTTCAGAGTGCTAGGCCCATATTCACGAAACTGTTTTGTGCTCAAGACTAAAGTCTTGTTCTAGTAATAAATTAATAAAATATCTTATTTTGTCAATACTTTGGAAAACATTTGAAGAGGCTTATAGAGCCGAATGCTGATTTCCATGTTTACATTTGACGAGACTTAGAGCCGAATGCTGATTTCCATGTTTACATTTGACGAGACTTAGAGCCGAATGCTGATTTCCATGTTTACGTTTGCCGAGACTTAGAGCCGAATGCTGATTTCCATGTTTACGTTTGACTGTTGGATTATTTGGCATGAGTTTGAAAAAAGATAAATATGGACCCCAAAAAATACCCCGCAACCAACAAACCTTGTTATTGTTCAGATATATTTAACAGCGAGCAGTCGTAGGCTTCACAGGCAAATCTTTTCAAAATCTAAAAACGCTAGCAGAACTTTTAATCAAAGTTTTTTATTTGTCTTTTTTACAGATATTTGAATTCTATTATATTTTCTGTGCGTCCCATCGTAATGATGTTTGTACAGATCACATGACCTTGGTTTTACCGTTAAATCCTCATCTAGATACCGTAAAGGAAGTGGCCTAAGCTTAGACAGTGACCCTTTAACACAGGAAATGGTCACAGACAATGACCTGGAACAGACTCCTACGTTTCCTGCTCGAGACGCTTTAATGGGGAGAGACAGACAACTGCTCTGTGAGAGAAACAAGAGAAACGATAGAAACAGACGAGACAGAACAATAAATTTGTACCAGGACATCCTTTACAATTATTCATACCTACCAAGCTTTCCAACAAAGTGTTGGTTGCAGACACATTTCATGAACCATGATAAAGTTTCAGTTTATCCGGCCATATATCAATGCCTGTCATAATATACTGGCTTTGACCATAAATCCTTATGTTAACTCATTCACCCCTGAAATTTCATAATGAACTATTCCAACCTTAGAATTGGAAGAGTTCAAATGTGTCTTCAGGGGTGAATGAGTTAAAGATAACAATGTAAAGAACAATGGCAGCATTGTCAAACTAACAAAGCTATTGGGGTGGAGATGCATAAATACTCCTGATGTAGGCATCCACATTGGATACCCGAGTATTCAAGCAGATCTTCACCGAAAGAACGTAAATACAAGCAGATGAGTGATAAAGAGCCATCACCAAGAATTCCGTAAGGGTGGACTTTATTGAGTCGACTTGTATTCGATGGCTCAAGCCAACCATTAGTAGAACATTAAAAGCCCCACCCCCACCCCCACCCCCACCCCCCCGACATGACTTAAGCGTTAAGAAAATCACACCTTACGGGACTTTTAATGGAACAAGAGGCCTCAACAACTTGGGACCCATGAGGTCGTTTAAAGATTTTAAACAAATTTGATCCCTGTGACCTTGAATATATGTCAAAGTCATTCACTTTAACAAACTTGGTAGCCCTTCATCCAAGCATGTTACTGACCAAATATCATCACTCTAGGCCTCTTGGTTATTCAGAAGAAGTTGTCTAAATGTTTTAAACATATTTGACCCCAGTGACCTTGAATATGATTCAAGGTCATTCGTTTGAACAAACTTGGTAGCCCTTCATCCCAGCATGTAACTGGCTAAATATCATCACCCTGGGCCTCTTGGTTATTCAGAAGAAGTTGTTTAAAGGTATTAAACATATTTGATCCCTGTGACCTTGAATATAAATCAAGGTCATTCATTTGAACAAACTTGGTAGCCCTTTATTTCAGCATGTTACTGGCCAAATATCATCACCCTAGGCCTTTCGGTTATTCAGAAGAAGTCGTTTAAAAGTTTTATACATGTTTGACCCGTGACCTTGAATATAAATCAAGGTCATTTATTTGAACAAACTTGGTAGGCCTACATCCCAGCATGTTACTGGCCAACTATCATCACCCTAGGCCTTTCGGCTATTCAGAAGAAGTCGCTTAAAAGTTTTATACACGTTTGACCCGTGACCTTGGATATAAATCAAGGTCATTCGTTTGAACAAACTTGGTAGGCCTACATCCCAGCATGTTACTGGCCAAATATCAACACCCTAGGCCTCTTGGTTATTCAGAAGAAGTTACTCAAAGATTTTAATGTATTTGACCCCTGTGACCTTGAAAATAGATGAAGGTCATTTATTTGAACAAACTTGGAAGCCCTTCATCCCAGCATGCTTCTGGCAAAATATCATCACCCCAGGCCTTTTGGTTAATGAGAAGAAGTTGTTTAAAGTAAAAAGTTGACGACGGACGGAAGACGGAAGGACGACGGTCGGACGACGATGGACGATGGACGATGGACGATGGACGGACGCCGCACCATGCCAAAGGGCCAGGTGAGCTAAAAATTACAGATGAAACAAGAGGCCCAATGGGCCTGCATCGCTCACCTGGTATAAATCTCACACTTGTAACCTTAAAAGTGATCTAAAATAAAGCTACAGGCAAAATATCAGTATTTATGATTAAATTCGTTCAAAAGACCCTGCTATTTTTTTTTAAAACATTTCACCCCTGTGATTGAATGTGGAACAAAGTCATTATGTTGAACACATTGTATGCCTTTCATTTCAGGATGCAACTTGCAAAGTATAAACATCCTGGGACCCATGGTTATTCATAAGAGGTTGTTTAAAGATTTTAAACAAATTTGACCCCTGTGACCTTGAATATAAGTCAAAGTCATTCACTTTAACAAACATAGTAGTCCTTGATCCCAGCATATGCTACTAACTAAATATCAACATCCTGAGCCTTTTGGTTATTCAGAACAAGTTGTTGAAATATTTTAAACATATTTGCTCCTTGTGACCTTGAATATGATTCAAGGTCATACATTTAAACAAACTTGGTAGCCCTTGATCCTAGTATGCTACTGACTAAATATCATCACCCAGGGCATTTTGGTTATTCAGAAGAAGTTGTTTAAAGTTTTTAACATATTTGACCCCTGTGACCTTGAATATGGGTGAAGGTCATTTATTTGAACAAACTTTGTAGCCCTTTATCTCAGCATGCTACTGGCCAAATATCATTACCCTGGGCATTTTGGTTATTGAGAAGAAGTTGTTTAAAGTTTTTAACATATTTGACCCCTGTGACCTTGAATATGGGTGAAGGTCATTCATTTGAACAAACTTTGTAGCCCTTCATCTCAGCATGCTACTGGCCAAATATCATCACCCTGGGCATTTTGGTTATTCAGAAGAAGTTGTTTAAAGTTTTTAACATATTTGACCCCTGTGACCTTGAATATGGGTGAAGGTCATTCATTTGAACAAACTTTGTAGCCCTTCATCTCAGCATGCTACTGGCCAAATATCATCACCCTGGGCATTTTGGTTATTCAGAAGAAGTTGTTTAAAGTTTTTTTAAGACAATTGACCCCTGTGACCTTGAATATAATTGAAGGTCATCATTTGAACAAACTTGGTAGCACTTCACCCTAGCATGCTACTGACCAAATATCATCTCCCTGGGCAGTTTGGTTATTGAGAAGAAGTTGTTTAAAGTTTTTAACATATTTGACCCCTGTGACCTTGAAAATAGATGAAAGTCATTTATGACAAGATGGCTGCCTATCGGCCATGTTGTTTATCCGATCGGTCTCAAAAATTGCCCTGCACAGCTAAGGACCAAGGGGAACCTACATATAAAATTTGAGAAAGATCCCTCTGATACTTCCCGGGAAATAGCGATAACAAACTTTCAATATCAAAATCCAAGATGGCTGCCTGTCGGCCATGTTGTTTATCCGCACAGCTCAGGACCAAGGGGAACCTTCATATAAAATTTGAGAAAGATCCCTCTGGTACTTCTTGAGAAATAGCGATAACAAACTTTCACTATCTAAATCCAAGATGGATACAAATAGGCCCCTGGTTCGTCTAAAACTTGTTCCTCCATTACATCCAGGATGCAGACATTTTCTGGACAACTAAATTTACAAGGTTTCTCCGAGGAAGTCTTTAAAACAAGAGATCCCAGAGGGATCTTGGCGCCCACCTTTGTACCATCTTCATTAGTTCTTTGCCAGTTCGATCTTTTCTCTTCTTTCCTCTAATCTGTTTGATCGAGTCATGTTAACAGTAAATGCACCTTGAGGTAACATTTGATCTAAATTTAATACTGATGTGTATGAAAGCCAACCTTCAAAGTGAGTTTGTCATTTCACATATTTACTAGTACAGTACTTAATGTGAAAGAAATAGAATCGATCATTGCAATATGAGAAAGATCTGTTAAGTTCTTCTTTTAATCCATTTTGTTTTTATGATCAGTCTCAAAATATAACATACACCACGAGGGATCAAGGAGAACCAACATTTAAAATTTGAGAAAGATCCCTCCCGTTCTTCCCGAGAAATAGAGATAACAAACTTTCACTATCAAAATCCAAGATGGCTGCCTGTCGGCCATGTTGTTTATCTGATCAGTCTCTAAAATTTTCCTGCACAGCTAGGACCAAGCGGAACCTACATATAAAATTGAAGAAAGATCCCTCTGGTACTTCTTGAGAAAAAGCGATAACAAACTTTCAATATCAAAATCCAAGATGGCTGCCTGTCGGCCATGTTTTTTTATCCGATCAGTCTCTAAAATTGCCCTGCACAGCTAAGGACCCAGGGGAACCTACATATTAAATTTGAGAAAGATCCCTCTGGTACTTCCTGAGAAATAGCGATAACAAACTTTCAATATCAAAATCAAAGATGGCTGCCTGTCGGCCATGTTTTTTATCCGATCAGTCTCAAAAGTTGCCCTGCACAGCTAAGGACCAAGAAG